TTTGCTACGCAGCACTTTCCAGGCTTCTTGATAATTTAATGCAGCTTCCTTGTAGTCCCGGTAGGTCTCTAGAGTCTTCATCCTGACAGAAAATGCACAACAATGAAAACATTTCTATTATCCTATTGGATGTAACATCACAAAATGAAAAAAGCAATCAAACATCTAAGAACATGATGATGCCCTATGAGCTCTTTCATGCTGCTAAGTGAAATTATCTTGTGCTTCTAGGAAGACCTGGAAAGGCCCAGGCCCTGGAGCTAGTGTATCTAGATATTGTCAGCAGTCTTACAAAAGAAAGCAAAACGTCTCCTCTACCATGCTTCATACACACTCTCCAGCAGTAGAAGTGTCAGTGTCTGACTGTGTGACAATAGGTCACAGAAATCTTCCATGATAGCAGAAAATGTTGAAGCAAAGTAGAAAAGGTGACTAGAAACAGGTGCGTTGAATTGGGCAGAAGTAGCCTTGTTTTGCTGGAAGAATGGATACGACTGCTGGCTGGAAGGGAAGGGGACAAGGACGAACAGGACCGTTTCTGTTTTCCAACACAAAATAATGGATGGGGAAGAGTGAGACAAAGAAGAACATATATTTTTTTTAATCTTTTCCCGAAAGCAAAAGGGACTCAGCAGTTTTGGTGCTCTGTTCCCATTCCTCACGTAGAACCTGCTCCCCACAATCTCAGCAGAACCATTGGTCACTCTGCTGAGAGCATTATGCCATTGATTTTCAAAATAGGGAAATTTGGGTCTAGAGTATCTGAACACAAAAACCTCTAAGACGATTTCATCAAGACTTTTTTTCCTTTCCTTGCATTCCTTTCCCAGCCTCTTTCGTCTCTCTTTGCCAAACAGTCTGTCAGCCACATGTGGCACAATGTTTATACATTCAACCCAATATGAAGGGAAGGTCATAGACAACATGACCCTCATCAAGAAAAGGGAAGAGCCAAACTGCTACAGGGACCCTAATTTAAGAAGTCTGAGAACCACTGCGCTAACTTCCAGAACAGGCTTTCATGCTCAAAGGCAATATTGATCATCACCACCCCCCCACCCCACCCCCAAAAAAAGTAACAGCAGACCATCAGCAATTGTATTTCAGGCATTCAGCTATAAATGTATGTCTAGAGCACTGTGACATGCTTAGCAAGCCATGAGATATTACCTATCCTGCAGACCTTAGGTTCAGAAAGTGCAAGACAGCAGAACCTGTCTATGCCATTGCTGAACACAGGAGATGTAGGTTCTCTTACAAACCTGCCTGCACTCTTTGACACAGGCAATCCATGTTGCTTTCTTTACCTCTTTCACATTAATTAAACTCTGAGCTGCTCTGGAAAGTTCCAATGAAAGGTCCACTGCAACTCTCCTCCATTATCAATGGTAGATTAATGGTTCAGAAGCATCACTGAACAGGCAGAAGACCAGCAACTACCTGCATAAGCAGTATTCAGGAGACACCACAGGTGCAAGGGCCAAGGTCAACTCACCACAACCAGCTCCAAATCCCTATCCCAGGCAAGCTGTTCCTCTCCCACATACTCCAACGTGTACCTCAGACACAGTACAAACCACCTGCACCCTCTCCTCCACCTCAAACCCATTCTCTGGGGAGCAGTATGCATGCTTATACCCAAGGATAATGACCGAATCATACTTGGTGAAGAAACTCTCTTATGTTACCAAGCTTCTTGCACTTAAAGTATATCTGACACATTTGGTTAAGACTTCGGCCCTGCCTTTCCTCACTAGAAATGCATCTAATGACTTACATTTGTCCTTTATTACAGAACAGCTAGTATCAGATACATCTTCAAAACACAGCTACTTATACTTATGAGGTCACATTTAGGATGGTCAAAGATCAAAAAATGATTATAGAACACAGATTTTTGGACTGGCTCAATCTTGTTCAAGGCAAAACAGCTGTTTTCCTTGCATTTGGTGTGGATACACATATACAGATATAGATCCAAATAAAGACAGACAGACATATAGACAGATAGATAGACAGATTGCACCTGCCACTACGCCAAGAAAAAGACTCCAATGCCTAGCTGTTCTTCGTTTCTTTGTTGCTAAATGTTGTTCTTTTTCCTGAATCTGCTGGTAAATCAATGGCCCTTCAACTCGTATCCAGCAGTCTCATGCAATTTAACTAACAGAAATATGGGATTTTTCTAACCTAGATTATTCCAACAGACCTTTGTTTGGAAACTGTTACAGTAGACAGTAAGGGAAAACATAGCTAGCACAAAATCAGAATAGACAGTAATGAGCAGCTCAGTATTTTCATCCCACTGTAGCAGCCACAAGAGCACATGTGACTGCAGCCTCTTGGGGTCTCATTCTCCAAGCAGACAACATCACTACAGGATTTAACAGTGGATGCAACAGAAATCTGCATTTTAAACAGCTTCCTCAAAAAGCTGATAAAAATCAAACATTTATTTAACTCATGCTCAATTTCTGCATTAGGCTTCTAAGAAATTTTCAACACGCATACAGGAAAAATGTTTTCAAATTCAAAGTACATTACATCTGCCTAAAAACCTCACATGCTTTGACTGTACTTCGGCTTTCGTTGGGCCACTAAGGCTCTGAGCAGTTGTAATGAAGAACCTGTGACTTTTCTTGGCAGAAGTAAAACTCTAATTTGCTGCCCCAGGCAAAGGCCAGTACAATCATACGATCTCCAGCCTATCCAGGTCTGTCTGACTACATTCCTTTTATGTTTCCCTTTATTATTTCAATCTCACCCCCACACTACTGTGTAAGAGAGAGAGCGATTCTGATTCTGGTGTGCCATAGATGTGAGAGGTGATCCAAAGATTTCATTCTGAAAAGTATCACACTCTTGGAAAAAGTCTTAACAAATCACTGTTATGCTTGAAAACATTAATGTGCTCAGCCATGTGCAAAGCTGAGCAGAAATTTGGCTCACAAGCAAGGCAGCCTGCAAAGAAAAGCAATACACTGCTGCAAGACTTCCTTCTCAGCAACAAACCCTACCTTTAACCCCATATTCAGTTTCAAACATTTACATTCAACCCATAGTGTACTTTTGGGATTACAGACATATTGCACATGAAAAACGTTGACATAAGCACAAGGCATCAACCAAAACATTACTCTTACATTACAAAAATTAATGAATCGCATCTAAGAGGCCAAAAGCTCACAGATCTTCCATATGTAAAAAAATCTGTTGTGAATCCATAATGATAGGGGGCCAGGAAACCATACTTGGCCTGATTCTATTAGTATCTTCTTCAATGCTTCAAATAAAATGCAGTCGCTGCAGGCAAACTTCATAATTGACACCAATTGTTCAGAAGATACAGAACAAAGTCACAGAGTGAGCTAACTCAATACTTGAGTTCCACTCAAATAAAAGAAGTTTTAACAGTAATGTAAGGTTTTGCAGCATTTGGAAGATTTTTGCCGCATTGCTGTGTCTAGCTTCAGAAATCCAATTTTCATTACTGAAAAATGGGAAAGTGAGCTTTGTGGCTTTTTCCAATGTCATCAGAAATGGTGGGAAAAAAGTATCACACAGAGGAAAAGATGTAGAAGCTCAATAGAGTAATTAAAAAAAAAGATCAAGTCTTGAGATAATTATTGTAAGTATTTTCATGGCGCAGAAAATAGTACTTAATAAAAGTCTCTTCAATCCGGCAAAGACGTTAACAAGCATCTGTGACGTGCAGTACAGAAAAGATTTTTTTAGTTAGATCAGAGGACCTAACCGTCCCACGGGCCTCTATGCAGTGGTAGGACCATCACGGGAATTGTTTAATGCACAAACTTGAAAAAAGAAAATTGCAAAGGTGCTAGAAAATTGCAACAGAATTCTTGCTAAATGTGCTTGTTTGTTTGTTTGTTTTTTTCCTAATTGGAGAACAGCAGCAACAGTGAAACTGCACCCATCCCGTGACAGTTACTTTCATTAGGCTGACACTTCCTTACCATCATCCTCAGCCACTCCAACAGTCACCTGGCAGAATCCTTTTGCTGTTCACAAATGAACACTGGCAAAAAAATCTTAAGCGTGAAGGTTCTACACTTTAGTCTAGATACTTAAATCTCAAAGCCATCTGAAAGTCTGTGCACCCCTCTGCACAACAGCCCACCCCCTCCAATTAGGTGTCACGAGAGCTGGAATCATCCATACTGCAGACTGAACTGGAAGGAGGAAGAAAGCACAATCTTAATTGTGACGGTTGCTACCTATAATCCAAGAGAAAAAAGGTTCAGTCATCCATTTAACAAGCCCAGAAAGAAATTCATGGCAGGTTTATGTTACAGTCTCCCTTAGATTCAGACAAAGGGCTGCACAGCCAGCCACGCCTAGCACAAACAGCAGTGCCCGGTGACTCTGTGTGGTGGATGCCACTGTATGACAAAAGAAGGCTTTCATTTCCTCAGGTGATGAATAAGGCATGGGTTTTTTCTACCAACAAGGAAAATAAAACAATGCAAAAAACCTCCTTTGCCATATTACCACCAAGTGATCTGCAAACAACAATAATACTGCAGAGATTTTTACATAACAATTCAGATTAGCAATGGCACAAGACTGCCCAACCGTGTGTCATCATTCCTTTGACAGTGAGCATTGAAAATATGAAAAGAAAAAAAAAAAAGAGACTGATTTATGTACCAGTAATTTCAAAACATTAATAAGAAACAGCATGTGAGAGGGAGTCAATACAAGAGAATGAAGCATGGCAGATGGAGGGAAGAGGTTATAAAAAGACAAGTAACGTTTTAGACAGTCTAGCTAGAGAGATGAGTGAGAATTTAAGTAAGGGACAGAGGAGAGAGATCACAGAAATTACTGGAAAGGAAGAAAGAAAGTGGGACAGCACAATACAGCACTATCTGGTTCTTGGTGAAGAAGTAGCTAATGCCAGCCAAACGCTGCCTCCTCCTTACAGTCTCACCTGAAAGCAAATAAACTAAATCCTTAAAAAAAACAACTGCTGAATGTTATGCTTAGCATCTTAGCTAAGTGACACCACTACAAATTCCTGAACTTGCTTTTTAGGAGAGCCAACAATGCTCTGCCCCCAGTAGGCTCTCTACCTGTTGCGATTTAACACTGCCTGTACTGATCCAGTGGAGAGAAGTGAAGAATGAAAGGAAGGCACAAAAAGCAGGAGAAGCAGCTTTAGACCCAGGAAAGAAGAAAACAAAAGAACATCAGAATCAGTATACTAGTTCCATGTAAAGCTTTAACTGCCCCAGTATCCTAGGTCTGACAGTGGACAACAGCAGATGAAGAAAGGGTTAAGTCAAGAATGATTCTTGTCCTAATATGACCTACACCTTACCAAGACAAGCTGTTCAGCAAATTTGAAAGGACTACAGAATGAGATTCCCCGATGGAGCAGAAAGGATGGGAGGCAAGAGACCAAAAACTGGACTAGAAGAGGCAGGGCAGGAACTTAGGGTCAAAGCAGGAAAAGGAAACTGGGTGACAGCATAGCACTAGAGCCAACCATTTGTGGGAGGAGACAGTAAGATACATTTGAATGGGGAAAAAAAAATACAAAACTGGGTGTTAAATACACAAGAGTTTAGAGGAAACAACTTGAGAGTGTGGGACTACTTCTCTGAAGACCGTTCAAATTCAGACTACAGGGAGGAATGGAAGAAAAAGGAAGAAAACATCAGAATATTGTGTAGAATGGGAAAGCAAATAAGAAGGAAACAGCAATACAATGACATTTTTTCATTTTGCCTTTGAAGCGAAAAGTAGGAAAAACAAAGACTTCAAAAGGAAAGCAATTGGACAAGCTAACTGGTGAGCTAGCACCTCTACTGTACAAATAGAGTTTGTGCAGCCTAAAAATGATGCCACATTTGCGTATCAGCTGGATGTTGTCAGGAGAAGCCCAGACAGAAAAAATGGTAGAGGTCAAAAAAGTCAAAGGAAATTGCAAAGCCACTGGAGTCTAGAAAAGCCCTGAGGTGAAATGACTTTATGTAAGAAACACATGATCAGCACAATGAGTCACCTACCCAACAATGCATCAGCTCACACTTTATTCCGAGGAAATTATGATGGCTGAACAAGTGAGGACAAACTCCCACCCAAAAGAGGCTAATAATTTTACATCTAAAAGTGAATTAAGGAAAAAGCGTATCTCTACTTATAGAATTGGCTGAAGACATTTCAGCAATAGCATGGCTTATGTTGGCATCAGAACTTTAAAATAGTTATGAGGCACTTCTACAGACATAGAAGGTAACTGCAATCTTTAATCCACAAAACTCAAAAGCAAGCAAGATCTACTAATTAAAGATGCGCTTACTTTGGCCAAGTTCACCTCATCTAATGTCTTGGTACCACGAAGCAGAAACAGCCTATCTCCCCTGCTTCCAGCCACACATACCTCCTACCTCCTTTGCACGGTTTTATTATCTATTTTAGCTTTCCATGAGCCAATTCAGCTCGTTAGTCCAATAGAAAACACAGTAGACAAAGGAATTGTTTTCTGCCACATTAGCTAGTTGAACTGGCTCACCATGAGGCTGGAGAAGTGCTACTGATACAAGGCAGAAAACAGGAATCTACAGCCAGTAGCAGCAGACTGCTGCGGGACTATCCCCATCAGCAGCTACAAGCCTCAACAGCTCGTATAATTGCAAATTACAAATTAGCTCAACAGCCCGTATAACTGCACCTCAGAGCTGGTGAAAGCATACCTGGAAATAAGTCTAAAATAAAATAAACTTTCCAAGGCAATGGATTTGGAACTTCCTACATCTCTCAGAATCTCTGGCCAAAGTGAGAGATAAGTTTCTGTATATATGCAACTATGCCCTGCTCTATGGTAGCTATTCAGGCTGGAATACCACCAAATACGTAATGCACATAATGCAATGCCAGACCAGATGACTTCTGCAAGAAACTCCAGTCTGATAAACCAAACTTATTTCTAATAATGTAAAAGAAACCTTCAAGTATGGCTTCCTCAGACAAAAGCTTCTGTCTGTTCTTTCCAGGAAGCCTCAAATCTACATAATATATGCATTGCAGAAAGGGCCCTACACACGATATTCACCTTACTAGCTCTTACTCTGTCATACATTTACATGAAAAAAGATTCTAGCCTAGACTTTAAAAAAAAAAAATATATTTTTTTTTAAAAATCAAACTCTTCCTTCTTCTGAAACAAAGAAGCGTCACTTGACAGAATTACTAAACACCAACCAGATATCAATAACCCCACGACCATTTTGGGATGGAGGGTTTGAATGCCACTAAGGGTACAGTGCTACAGACAGCTGATCTAACAGCTCACATTCTCAAAAAAAACACTTCTTCCTCTCATTTCCCTCTTCACTCTTCCTTCCCCAGCTGTCCACTGCCACTTTCAGACAAGACCACTTTAACTCAGAAAAAAAACCTGAAAATGTAGTTTTCTGCCAAGACAGCAAGTTGAAGAGGCTCACAGATGTGTCCAACGGACACCAAATCTAGTGCAAGGGAAGCACAAGGCTCCACTGATGAAGAACAGCCTTTACCCTTTCAAAAAGTAGCAAGCCTTCAGAAAGATCAGCTGCCCCAAATTCCTACCTTAATTCCAAACAAACAAGCCACCTGCAATTGCTTCTGTCTGTCACTAATACACGAGATGTGACAGCTATTTCTCCAAGGAGGTCATTAAAAAGACCAAAGAGAGTCTCTTCCCAACACATCAAGCACATGCCATATTTTTCCAGTACCAAATTTTAACAATGAACTTATCTCAAGTGAGACACATGCGCAGCTTCTGGTATCATCACAGTATTCTTGAGTCCCATTAAGATAAATTCACTCTTTTAAAGAGAATGAAAATGTCTTTACCGGAGAGTGTCTGGTAGATCCTCTTGTGAAATACTTGTCACTAGCTTTTGGAATGTGTGGAAGAGTTCCACTTTACAGATCTTGGATCTGAAGGGAAAAAAAAATAAAATTAAAAAAAAAAAATCAGAAATGCACTTCCTCTTATAGCTCATAGTACATCCTAGCTGAACATTTTTGATAAAACCAATTATGTCCACTTCTCAAAGAATGTAAAAAGTTCTCCACAATTTAACTTTTCCTACCCCATCTGAGCTGCCCACCTTCCTTTTCCCTTCATTTTAAATGCTATATTGACAAAGAGCCGCATGGCCCTCACTGTCCCAATCAGCACTCTGTCAGTTTGCAGAGAGAACATTTTAATATCCCCACATTGTTATCTGTGTGAGACTGCACCGTCATCTGCTCACAACTACAGCAACATTGAGCCAGAAGGACTAGTCCCAGAACCAAACAAACAAGCTAGAAGGACTCCAGAGGCTTGTTCAAACCGGCAAATTTGGTATTATGCAGAATAAAAGAACTACAGAAATATCTGGAACAATGCTGTCCTTTTCACAGCACCTCAATGGTGATGAGGACACATTTGGCAACAGCTGCAGGGCCGTTAAATACAAAGAGGCTCATCAAAAAATAAAGTAAGTCAAAAGTTTGAAAGGTCTTTTGAAGATACCATATGCATCTCTGTCAGCTTTAAGCCTTTCTTTTCCCCCCAAAGAGAAGGCATCCAGAAGAGCTGTTTAAAAGCACAGTTTGTTTTTGAAAGCCCTGACTATTTTCTCTATTTAATTAAATTATTTTTATAACTTGGATTCAGTTCTCCAACATGTGCAAGCTGATTTTCTCGAAGCATTCAAAACATCACCAATCAAAAAACCTTCCTATTTTGCTAGTACGTTCTTTAAGAATCCCCAAATTGGCACAAAGATGGTACAAAATTTCACCTTCACGTTGATCTGTCAAAGGTTCATATTGTAGGTTTTGGTGGTTTAGTTAATTAAGCATTAACAAAAGCACATACCAGACATCTACGTACAAATTCCTTTTAGTCAGTCAGCTTTACCTTCCTTGATATTTACTGTTATCTAGCATATTGAGGGGAGAAAAAAACCCCAAACAACAGCCCCCACGAATCACCCTGAGATTCCTTGAGGGAAAAAAACCCCAGGGTAGAAATACAAGTTTTGTTTATTACTAAATACCAGCCACCCCCAATAAGGCTATAAATTCCTCATTTTCATGATAAAAGTTCCTTTTGTGACCTTTTATCACAAAAGTGTAAATGGTTTACTTATTCCTTGACACTGGTTTTTTTTTTCCTGATTTCCTAAGGAAACGAGACCTTTGCAATCATATGGTCTTGTAGGCCCTCTGAAGTAACTTTGCTTTAGTGAATTTTGAGCACATGTTAAAAAAAAAAAAAAAAAAAAAGTTCCCTCTCAACAATAATTGAGTTCCTACCATTTCGAGCAAACTGGCAGCTAGCACATGGCTCTCAAGTTTTAGAGTTGATAAACAAATGCTATGTAACAAATTTTAGCCTGCTGAGAAAAAGGGATTGGGTGGTTTGATCTTTCACACGTCTCCCGGAATACATTACATACCACATATTGAAAACTAATATTCTACAGTGCACATAAACCCTGTCTTAAAAGGTACACTAAGTCACCGAGGTCACCTGTGCTAACAACACCCCAGATACCAATACTGGTCACAAACCACAAAGTTCCTGGTCCTCTTCTTTCCAGGGAAAATTTGGAAACACTAGGATAAATGTCAGTCCAGTCGGGCCTAACTTCAAGAAGCTCTGAATGTGCAACTCGCAGGCATGTGAATGAATTCTCCACAAGAATTGTATGTGCTCTACTTATCATTTTATTCTCTACTGTTGGGATTATCTTCCTTCTCCCAGAAAGCCTGGGAAAAATGAACAATATGACCATTGATAAATTGGTAGTATTAACAGCCAACAATCAAAATGTGACCCCAACCCTCAAGCTGAACTTCCACAGCCCAATGATAATTTCAGTCACCTCACCTAAACTGAGGAAAGCGTAGAGAGACGGAGAAATTTGTCTGCAGATGTTTATAAGTAATTCCTCTCAACCACAAGAAAAATACAGAACTGGGTTTTTTAAACATTTAATAGTTGATAGAAGATTATGATGTTTCTTAAAGAGCACAGTGTCAAGACGACAATTGGAAAGGCGACATCTTTTGTGTTAGGAATCTGCTGCAAGCATTTCATAACATTTTCAAACTTTAAGGCAAAAAGTCACATTTCAAAGCAAGACTTTGAACAACCATACATCCAGGTCAGCTGGCCTGACTCTTCCAGAAAAAAGAAATCTACAGATTTACAGAGGACCTGCAACACACACATTTCCTTCACAGTCATCAACCCAAAAGATACAAAGCAAAAATTCAGATAACTCCACCAATAAGCAAGCTATCTTTTAATAAAAAGCCCCCCCTCCCCATTATCTACAACACTCTCTTTAATCAACAAAGTGACAAAGAAGAAATAGGATAAACTTGTTAACCCTCATTAAACTTTTGTCATTCCAACTCCCCTTCTCTCCCTTGCACAGTGACTCTTCCTTTTCCCCCACTCCCCAGATTTACTTCTGCTCTGACAATGCACTACACATCATAGAGCTGACAAGAGGCATGTATGCTAACAAATAAGACGTATGTATCCAGATATCACAACATTCTCACACCTGCTCTGATGGTTCCCAATCCCCTTCTTTGTTGTTCCCTGCCGGAAGCCATCTGAGGTGACATCCAGGGGCTGCTCAGGGACTGCACTCCAACTGATAGCTGTAGAAGAAAGGATTATGAACAAGGGAGGTGCTACCATCACAAAAGCAGAACTTAACAGTTCCTTTCATTATATGTGTTCACATGACACCAGGCTTCTTCCCAAGATAATTCAAACTAGAAAGAGGATCACGGTTCTCTAGGGCCAGGATTCCACCACCTAAGAGAGTACGTAAACTCTGTTTAATTTTTAAAAAAGAAATACACATATACATGAAGCTTTCATCTTAATCAGGTCATCCAAAAATTCATGCCTCTGAATATATGGTCTCCAGCTTTGCAATTCTCCCCTTTTTAGGGGGATTCTACTTTCCTTTGTGCATCCTGTCCAGACAAAGCATGAAGAAATTTCCAAGTCAGACAGCTTATTTTCATAGAATCAGAGTGGTTTGGGTTGGAAGGGACCTTAAAGACCATCTAGTTTCAACCCCCTGCCATGGGCAGGGACACCTCCCACCAGACCAGGTTGCTCCAAGCCCCATCCAGCCTGGCCTTGAACACTGCCAGGGAGGGGGCATTCACAGCTTCTCTGGGCAGCCTGTGCCAGTGTCTTAGTGCCCTCATGGCGAAGAATTTCTTCCTAATAACTCACCTAAATCCACCCCCTTTCAGTTTGAAACCATTACCTGTCATCCTATCACTACACCCCCTGATAAAGAGTCCCTCCCCACCCTTCCCGTAGGCAGTACTGGAAGGCCACTCTAAGGTCTCCCCGGAGCCTTCTCTTTGGTATTTTTGTATCAGGCTGCAAAATACTCCCCCAAGCTACTTCCACCAGTCACTCTATGTTTTCCTTACTAATTTATTGTGTGCTGTTATTTTGTGTATTGTATACTAAATAGTTCTCTCTATGTTTGTTAACTGACTTACATCAAATATCTATAGACTTTACTTGAAAAGTGTTATTAGCTAGTAGTCAAACAAAAACTTGTTGGAAGAGGTAGCAAGCGCCAACAACCTTACCCTTTACCCCATTCTGGTAACCATATTACCATTTTAGACTGTGAACTTCTTAGTGCTTAAACTCTGCATATCATACCTTATGTATTTATAAATAACTAGCAAAGGATCAGTAGCATGTTAATAGAAACAAAACTGATTGACATGCCAAATCTCTCCCTCCATAGCCTAACAACAGTTCTTTTAACTTCTACTGCCTTGAGACATTTTTTGTTCCCCAAGTTCTCCCATTTCTCTGTGTTCCTAACGGGCAAAACAGTTGCACATGCATTAACTCTAATGATAATTTTCACAGCTTCTCTCCTTCATGACACCATCACGTCTTTCATGACAGAAGGATGCTCAAAACCTACACATTATAAAGCATATTATAGACACTAGTTGTGTTAATCGCACTTGTATTATGATTCAACTGTATGCTGCAGTTGCTATACTCTGCTAAGTGTAAACTATACTTGCATTGTGATTTAGGTACAATGCTGTATCACTCTGCTAAATTAAAATCCTGGGTAATGGCAAATAGCATTACATACATACAACTAGTATTAAACATTAAGCCCTCCATGTGTGTGGAGTATCTAAAACCACACAGTCAGAGGATACCAGATTCTGGCAAGCAGACAAAAATTTACTTAAAACTGAAAATGTTTTCTATTTTCTCATTTCTTCATAGGTATCACAAACCTCAAAATATTAAACCAAACACATTGTTCTTTTTAAAATTACCAGTTGAAGTGTTCCTATCAAGCATACTTCAATACTCAGTCTAACAGCCCTGAATTTAGAGTTTACCCTGACTTTCACCCCTTCAAGAAAAAATTAACCAGGCATAATTCACATACGCAAAGAAGTGTCATAAAGCATCATTCATCCTTATTTAACAGAATTACCCGAGTAAATGTACAGAAAGACAGACATACACAGGAATTTAGTCACAGTTGGCTTCAGATCTTTTTTGCTAAGTGAACTGGTACCACTTTTTGATGATGGATTTTTGCCTCCTACCTCACAGAATCAAAATCTTTTCCTTCCTGGCACCTGTAAATAACTCCAATTTAATTAATCTCAATTCCATTAAGGAACCTTTTGTTTCCATTCTCTTTTATCATCAGCTTTACTGTAATAAAATAACTTCCAGTTCCAGTTAAGCCAGAAAAATGGAAGAAATACCACAGAAAGTACGCATGTCCAAGTTTAAAGAAACTGCTTAACCATACACATACAGTGGCAGTTCCATTGTTTTTTTCCCCCCCAAATTAGACCATGTTGCTAAATCACAACGTGACTTGCATATTCATTCATCACCATGACAAAAAATGCAATGTCCAAAACCTCTATCAATTAAACCTTTACACTATACTACTCTGTATTCTTTCTACATTCACAGATTTCTGGAGCAATTACAAGCATAACTCAGTGTGGCACGTCTTCTGTTCATTACCAAGGAGAATGCAAAACTAACTGGAACAAGAAGTCTTTTGATATTTTTGTTTTCTTATTGCCCTCAGAACTTTTGCTTTCACTGGGTATTTTCTGTCTTTGCTTAGATTATAAATTCTTAATGGCATCAACGAAGTGTTTATTCAGTCTGAAAACTCCCTACAGGGAACTAGAGGCTGAGCTGAATATTATTAATTATTAACAATTAAGTTCTGGCCTGAAATTAATTTCTTGCTTTAAGTCACACTTTGCCTCCAGCACTGGCAATGAATGATGTTCCATTTTAGGAAACCACCAAAACCACCTAATTTCTCTTTGACCTTTTGCACACAGTTATGCAACCAGCCCAAGTTAACTCACCTGCACCACAAGGAACAAGTTTTGTTTTGCTGTTAGTTTGAATTTCCTGAATTGCCTGACGGCTATGTTCAAAGCGAAGATCCGATTGCAGCAGCTTAACCTCCTGAGCAAGAAAACCATCTGGTAAAAATGAGATGTGCTGACACCTAAAGTAAACATAGAAAGATGTAAGTGACTTTAAGTCTCATCTTACCAAACAAGCCAATTTCGTGCAATTTCCCTTCATAACTTAAAATATGTCACTTTTACATTAAAATTGAAATCAACATAAGTTGCAGAAGAAAGACAAGGATGTCCGGGGGCATTTTCCCCTTCAAAAAAGTATTTGTTAAAAAAAAGAAAGCCACATAGTTTATTAAGAACTTGTCCATCCTAGAAAAACTACGAAAAATTGATTCTTAAAAAGGACTAGTTAAAAGCTAGTACAATCAATGGAGATAAAGTATGCAGGATAAAAACTGCAATATACTTATGCAATCACAATGAAAAATAATAATAATGAAGTATTTACTTAGTCAACCATATTACATTAACAACTGTTTTATAAACTTAAAGTTTCATAATCAAAGGTAAAAAAAAAATATACTTACGGTTCCATGTAAAATCTCATCTTTTATTACCTTAAATTACCATTACACACTGAACGGGATTAGAATCATACGAAAAAAAGGGCATATGTTTAATCATCGTAACGTTTACATAGTGCAGGAATGAATTAAGACTGAGGTTTATATTATCAGATGTAATAGTCTGAAAAAGTGCCTGAAGTGCAACCTAAGACTAATGAGGCTAAGCAAATTCTTGTCCCATGTGTTACAGAGTGAGGAAAGGATTACCCAGTAAACTCCACTGGACAGGTAGCTAGCGTTTCCCCTATTAATATACTATGACATCTTTTATAACCATCCTAGAAGGATGCAAGGCTGTGGAGAAAAACAGTTACTAAACAAAGTGAAACCTTTCAGGTGAACTGGTCTAGTAACTGCCTCTTAAAGGGAGTAGTTCAGCTCTCCGGTTTCTTTCTTGCTGTCCCTCCACTCTGCTCAGTTCTGCTCTGCTCAAGCTCTCCCCTAATGCTTGCAGATTCCTTTGTTGCACTGATTCAACCTCCTAAGCAAGAAAAATATCCACTTCCTATCTTCCTGTTGCTGGGACAGTTTTCATCAACTCGGGGATCCGAGGAGCAAGAAAGCCAGTGCACAGCAGATTACTTTCCTCATTTAGCAGCTGTGCCCTTCACTTCTCACACAAATTTCCCTGAGGTGCCAGGTTGGGTTATCAGAGCTCTACTACTCACAGCAGGGAGAAAAATGAAATCTTGGATGTATTTCAGATCAAAGCAGCGGACAAATTTTTTACCACCATGGAAATGCACATAAGCTTTGGCTTTCCAGTCTAACACAACTTGGTCTTTTTCCAGCTGACCAGTACAAGCTGTCGCATGCTAGGTGTCCTGAACCACTTCAGTGAATCACAGAACAGTTGAGGTGGGAGGGGACCTCCGGAGGTCAGCTACCATGATCTATCAAAGATTAACAGGAGCGGTCTCACAGCGACACCTGCCAGCTCCCTCAGCTCTCCTGGGTGTACCCCATCAGGGCCCAGGAACTTATCCATGTCTAGTGTTCTTAAGTATTCCCTGACCTGATCCTCTTCCACCAAGGGGATCTTCTCCTTGCTCCCGACTTTCCTCCCTGGTCTCTAGGGCCTAGGATTCCTGAAGGCTGGTCTTCCTAGTAAAGACTGAGCAGAGAAAATATTCAGTAGCTCAGCCTTTTCCATACCCTGTGTAACCAGCTCTCCCACCTCATTCAGCAGTGAGCCCGTATTTCCCCGAGTCTTCCTTTTGTCACCTATGTATTTAGAGAAGCCCTTCTGGTCTTTGACATCCCTTCCCAGATTCAATTCCAGTTGGGCTTTAGCTAGTCCAACCTCATCCCTGCATACAGAGACAGTCACTCCATATTCCTCCTAGGTTACCTGTCCTTGCTTACACCCTCCACATGCTTCCTTTTCATGTTTGAGTTCAGCCAGGAGCTCCTTATTCATCCACACAGGCCTCCTGACATTTTTGCCTGACTTCCTATTTGTCAGGATAGAGCACTCTTGAGCTTGGAGGAGGTGGTCCTTGAATATTAACCAGTTTTAAAGGGCCTCTCTTGCCTCCAGGGCCTTATTGCACATGACTCTTCCAGGCAGATCTTTAAAGAGGCTGAAGTCTACTCTCCTGAAGTCCACGGTTGTGAGCCTGCTTTTTACTCTCCTCCCTCCCCTCAGAATCATCAACTCCACTATCTCATGGTCACTGCAACTAAGGCCCCCTTCAGCCTTCACATTCCCAATGAGCCTCTCACTGCTGTACTAGGTCCACCAGAGTACCTCGCCTCGTTGTCTCCTCTATCTGCCATTTGAATCATTCCTAAAGGTAAGGCGGGTTCAAAAGTTCCATTTCTCTTTATATTGCAGAGTAGGAGGATGAGAAACAAGTATGCCAAAGCCACAGGTGCAGAGCCACAAACCTCATCCTTTACAGAAGTGCATCCCTCAGAATGCAAGACTATCAAAAGGTCAGCTTGCACCGCACATCCAAATCGCTGTCAAGCATCCCAGAAGCACGAAGTTTTGCTCAAAAAGCAACAAACTGACAATTAACACTAACAGAAACAAGTGTTGACATGAAATCATGACTTTCCAATCTGGTTGCCAAACCACTCAAAAGCAATTTCTGTGTTAGGTCTAGAACTCAGTTTCCATGGGCTGCGCAGCACACCTGAAGGTACAAGATACAGTCAAAAATTTAGAATAGCAGTTTTCAAAAACCTCTACTGAGAACAGACCGACAATACAATTTTGAAATTTTAGATGGGATGGACTTGTACACGTACGCAATAACCTAAATATTAATCTCCTGGAAAATTTTAAGTTCGGACCCAAGCTTAGGAAGACAGCAAAAAGTAAACTGTTTTTACTGTAATTCCCTTCAAACAACGTTTAAAATACTGCCCCTTTTACTTGCTGGAAAGTACGTCTGAAAGCAGGGTCTAAAATCAGCAAAAGTTTCAGAAGAACCAAGAAGTTCATTGAAGGCTAAGTTATAAAAAGGTTTGTACGGACAACCAGAAAGATATCCTTTCCACAGTGCAGAAGTCTACCTCTGCATTCATTTGGAGTCGTTTCAGTCAGATTGCTTTTAGGATGGATGGATTTGGGGTCTTTTTAATTTAATTTTAGGAATGGTCCTGCAAAAAATAAAAGCTGCTTTTGCTCACAAACACAAATCTATAGAAGAGAATTTACAGATATTCAGAATGGCTTTGTGGAGTATGGATAACTGAATAAACTAAAACTTCCCTTGACCCTGTTTGAGGAAATAAAATCAGGAAGAGGGCAAGAAAAGTTCAACTTCACTACACTAAAAAAAAAAAAAACCCCAAACCTTCACTACACTGACTTTGTGTCCTTCTGGCAGCTTTTTCTGCTGAAACGCTTCTAGAAAAAACTCAGGTGAGTACATTTCTCACTGCTCTATGAAGGGACAACCAAGGGGATCCTGAATCTAATGGAAATTCTTTTGTGAATCTTCAAGTCTGATCCATCGGTAGTATTTATCCTTTCTCCATACTACATCGGGCTACTTTGTGAAAATTTGCAGAAAATCACATTTTATGCAAATGACTTTGGTGCAAAGTCCTGATATTTGCGTGACACAAGTTGTCTTCTATAACTCTGTCTCCACACATGGTAGCTGATTTCCAAAGGAGAGCACTTACCTTTCAATAATTGCTCTCCGCATAGCTTCTTGGCTGTATGGACATTTCCCCACGATAATCGCTGACAGATACACCGGATACTGCAGGAAATGCATCAGAAGAGCTCCTTGACATCCTAACACATTCCAGCGAGCCAGTTTATCACTGCAGGACATAGAGCATGTTCTGTCCCCACGACCTGGCTTCACTCGTAATAATCCCACACAGTGATACCCTAGCCCAGGTTTTCGGGCATCGCCCAGCTCTCCAGGTACACATTTTGCTCCCGTTCTATAAACATCTACTACCTTTGGTCTCCCTAAGCCAGTCTCCTTATTAGCTGTTTGCATCTCTGCAGAACATTCACAGCTCTTTGGATTTGTGTCATCTTCTTGTTTCACAGATATTTGCTGAACAGCCACATCTTCAGTGATCATGGAAAAATAGCCATCGTCAGTTTTCATTCTCTTGATTGTATGATTACTTGCAGTTTTCTCCGATTCCCTTTTATCTTCTGGACCCAAATGATCATAGTTACTTCTACGCTCTGCTGACTGTCCAGCTGCATCATCTCCAGTCACTGGCTTAGAAAGATGGTTCTCAGGCTCACTAATTGGAATAATAGAAGCATCTCCACCTAGAGCAAAAGAAATGACATCAAAACTGGCCAAAACTGCATCCTGCATGATCGGAATACACGACACCAGTATTATTATGACTACTACTAGGTTTCACAGATATGGACTCAGGAAAATTTAGTGATGAGAACACACTTTTCAAACAACGTTGTCCTGTACAATGATGAATCAGACTTCGCTGAAACTTAAGCCAATATATGTTTAATTTCAAGTTTTGCATTCTACCTAAGAAATAATAAAAAAAAAGCAAGATTCACAACAAAAGTTATAAAGCAGAAGGTGTCAAAGGCATTTGACAGACTACAAGCAGTCCTCAAGACCCAGAGGAAAACTAGTCTGATGTAACTAAACAATACAAACCTCAAAAGAATAATTAAAGAATAACCTGTCAAATAAGGATGGAAATTTTAATGTGTATCACAAGCTCAAAACCAAAATTCTGAAGCTCAGTTCAAAGCAAACAAAGCCCAACAGGCATGTGAAAAAAAGGCACTCAGGAAACTATTCTTGCTATTAAATTTGACAACGTAGATTCTATTCTAATATTGCATTACCAAAGAAAACCATCATAGCATACTCCAGCAATGCCACCAAAATCATGAAAATGCATGAGCAGCTAATTCACTATGCGAAGCACTGATGAGGCCTATTTTGAGAGTGCTTAGACTTCTTTGCTCTGGTAACAGAGCAAAGTGAAGAACACACTGGTAAAAGTGTGGTAACATAGAGATGTCCAATAAGCTGGTGGACAAAGAAGTCTCATTTCTACATTTTGCCAATAGATCCTCATCTTTGTGGTGCTGTTTTTTTAAAACACAGAAAAAGTGTTTTCTGTGACAAAACAATAAAGTTGCATTCCATTCCCTATGAAGTTTTGGGTTGCGGGGGGTGGTGGTGTTTTGTGGACGGGGCTTTTTGGGGGAGTTTCGTTTTGGTCTGTTGGGGGTTTTTTCCCTGTTTTGTTTTGGGGTGTGGGTTTTTTGGATTTTTTTGTTTTGTTGTTTAGTTGGCTGGTTTGGGGCTTTTTTTTTTTGAGAAACCACGGTAAATGTCAGTGTTGTGGGTTTTTTAAATTTGAATCCAAGGACACAACATTTAAAGCAAAGCAACCAGGAGATGTAATAGGACCTCTGACAAGTATGTTAGTTTCCAGAAAAGAAAATAGTAGCCATTATTGTTTAAAGAGAAAGTGAAGCATTCTACTATATAATGAGCAGTCTATTTGATTTACTGAGTCCTCACAAACCACATCCAGCGAGATACAATGCCAAATGTACCTGTGGAGAACCAGTCAAGTACACCTTAGGGCCCATACTGATAACGTGAGTTACCGCCTCACTCTCACTCCAGACCAAAGAGAGACCAAAGAAAGGCAAGAGGCAGAAAAGATTGTATGAGTGGGAGCCATGAAATTGGCCCACTCCAGCATACTCACACGGGGTATGGCTGGAGAAGAAAACAAATGTGATATTCTGTTTGAGTTTCCATTTCCCCATCTCAGTTCCTGGAATAAAGATACTGCACTGCTGATGGGAAGCTGCCAGCGACATCTGATGGAAAAGATACCTGTTAGGCAGAAAGTTTTCATGAAACATTTATTTCATTTTTAATGCATGGGAAAACAACAAAAATTAGATGCCCACTAGTGCCTGTTCTTTCCTGATGAAGTCTATGAGGAGCTAATCAGTTATGCTTCTACAGATAGATGGGATCCAACACACTCCATAAACACAACCACATCACTGGCACCTGAATAACAGACCTCAAACAGCTGGATTCAGCAGAGTTAACTATCTCCTCAAATCATGGTCCTCTCCTCCCACTCTGTAGTTTTACCAGCACTGCAGCTCATCTGATTCTGTGAGAACCGCTTTAGTGGCATCAAACTGCAAGGAATGTATTTGTTTCTGTAGCATTACTATTCCCCTGGCTCAGTTCCTTAAACCAGCTTATCCCTTGTGAACAAGAGGACTGGCATGTGGGAAAGGCAAAAAGGCTACCCTTGACAGCTACCCATTCGACCAGCATTGACTTCACATGAAATCAGATCCTACTTCTTTGTTGTAGAGGCTCTACAACAATGAGGAAGAAACATGCTTTTGTGAAAGGGTCTTAATGCCACCTGGAAGTGTAAAAGTCAGGTTAAACTCCTGCTAACAAAGGGAAAAAAAGTGTCGCCTACAGAGAAGTAATACTATCTCTTTCATTACATTCTCATCCCTGAAGTTGGCTATTTCAGTTATAGGTCAAAACCATTTGTATCTCAACAACCAACCTCAAGTGGCACTGAATAAGAGCATGTGAACTTCATGCCTCACCTCTGGAAGCTCCTCTTGGCCACAATTTCAGCATGACTGTCATTCAGAATGTCTCCTAAAGTCACAACCAAATGACAACAATGCACATCATTACTGGAAAGGAGACAAACAAAGCAAACAGAATTTAACAGATAACAGTTCTCCAGATTTGTTAGCATGTGAGAATAAAGATTGGTATTAGGTTATTGCAAGATATTTAAACTTCCCATCAGTACAAGAGGAGGCCAACAGCCTACTCAAATGAAGGATAGGTCTTCACTCCGCAACGAGTCAGAGACTTGTTTTAATACCAAATTTTAACTCTT